TGTTTGTGTGAGGGAATCATAAAAAACTTTGGGGAGTCAGTCCTCTCCTATTATATGGGGTCCCGAGGTTCAAACTCAGATTATCAATATTGGTAGCCATTGCCTTTACCTGTGCCGTTATCTTGTAGGCCCAAAATAAAATGACAGTTGAATTCATTTTGAATTTTTTTTTGGTGGAATGAGGAATCAAACTAGAGTCTATATGTGCTAGGCAAGCATGCTACTACTGAGCCATATCTCCAGTGTCACTAGCTCTTGAAGTTCATATTGATGTTAAACAGATCTGCTGGGCACACACACACACACACTCACTTTCAAATCACTCTTGCTGAGCTGAGGGGTTTTCTGAAGATTTACTTTTGGTATGACCTGATTGACTTTCAGGTTATCCCTAGATCTACCAGAACTCAGTAGAAATAAATATAAACAATGGACTGCCATGCACATTGGACCCCTCACCCTTTTTCTAAGCTTTCTGGCAACCAAGTTGTTGGTATGTTTCATGTTTTGACTTTGGTCATGTTAATCTCCTCTCTTCTGTATGTGTGGTCACAAGGCTTTCTCTTTCACTCTATAGATATGGGACCCATAAACATGATGTTTTTAGGAAACAGGGAATTCCCGGGCCCAAACCTTTGCCATTTTTAGGAACTCTGCTGAATTACTACAAGGTGAGTGCTTGTTGCAAGGAGGACAGGCTTGTTCATCCTGGCTGCCTGACTAGCTTATCTCCAAAATAACCACATAGAAATTGTATTCATTAAAACACTGCTTGGCCCATTAGCTGTAACTACTTATTGGCTAATTCTTATATCTTAATTTAACGCATTTCTATTAATCTGTGTATTGCCACATGGCAGTGGCGTACTGAGTAAAATTCCCAGTTTCTGTCTCTGGTGGATCCATGTCATCTATCCCTCCACCTTCCTTCTCTCAGTATTCTGCCTAGCTCTTCTCACCTACCTAAGTTCTGCCCTATCAATAGGCCAAGGCAGTTTCTTTATTCATTAACCAAGAAAAGCTACACACAGACAGAACGACCTCCTACACCAAATGTTGATTCTTGAGATCCAATAATTGTTTAGTTCCATCAAATGCTGTTTGGGAGGTAACTCTGAGACTTCAATCCCTCATACTGTGTGTTCTTATGATACTAGAGATGCCCCAGTGATTCTTTGGGGGCACTGTTGCCAACTTAAAACTATAAAATATTTGTGTGTATGCTTTTATAGTGTGTGTGTGTGTGTGCGTGCGTGCACATGTCTGAGTGTGCATATATGTGGAGGTTAATATGTAGAGGGTACAGGTTATTATTGGGTGTCTTGTTGATTGTTCTTCACTTTATACTTTGAGGCAGGGTCTCTCAGTTGAACCCAGCTCTCTCTGACTTGACTTGTCTAGTTGGCCAGCTTTCTTCTGAGATCCTTTGTCTCTGCCTCCTGCAAGTGTGTCTGAGCCAGCTCCAGCATAAACCAGCTGGGGGTATACTGGGACGAGGCACTGAGACTGAGGAAATGTTAGATTAAGAGAAACGAAGACAGAAATGTAGGATAGAATGGGAGAACTGAAGGCTGATACCAAACAGCCCTGAATTTATTTCTCAGCCAGCATATGTATTAATTTCAAGTAAAAGGTAGAACAAATGGCAGTAGAGTCAGCTAACCATCTCCCTGCACTGTCATTGTGAAGAAGCTAAAGCAGGTGCATTATCTCAATACAAGAATTCAGTTAGTAGCAAGCAGCTATCAATCACTAAGAAGGAGTGCCTCCAGCTGTCATACACCAGCCCTAATCAAAATGAATCATGTTTTCTTTCATCTGAGCAAAAATACTCCCTTTCATTGGCTTAATCACATGTGATAGCTCACATATGATTCAATTTCAATGAAGTCATGTTTGACTTAGAGAAATAATTTGAGTTCAGTATTACCTTCTCTGCTTGCTCCAAATATCCTTAAGAACTGTGAGAAAGTTCTGATTAAGCCCATGGGAAAGAGCAAAACCACTGGGAAAAGGATGATTTAACAAAATAGAAACTTCAACAATGAGCATGTCATATGCCACACTTAAATCTAGGTGGATCATTTGTGACAAACCTGCTTTGGTGCTTGGCCCATGCTGTGCCCATGGCAGACATTCCCAAGCTCACATCCAGAGGGCAAGTGACAAAACTTGCAAAGTGTCTGATCAAGTTTTCGTCCTGGAGTTTCTATGCTTACAGTGAATATACTTTCAAACAATTTGTCATCATCATTATTATTATTATTATTATTATTTTGTGTGAGTGGTGTGTATCTGGTGATGTGCACATGTACATGTCTAAGAATTTGCATGCAGAAGACACAGGAAGTGTCAGGTGTCCTGCCCTATCACACTACGTTTTCCCATTGAGCCATCTTGCTGATGCCGATAAACATTACTAAGGACTTTTTTCTGTCAGAAACTGTGAACCTCATTTCATGGGATTTGAGGGTTTTGTTCCCTGGATACAGAAGGGTTGGTACATACAGGACAGTAATGTATTTCATGCTATTTCTTTTTTCAGGGTATGTGGAAATTTGATACCGAGTGCTATAAAAAGTATGGAAAAATGTGGGGGTGAGTATTCTGGAAAGTTCCATGGAGTTGGCTCTTTTTAGGAGGATGTACTCTAATTGTTCAGGAAAATGCCAGCCAAGAATTGTAGTAATGACCTCTCTGTTGTAAAGATGTTGCCATGAGTCATTAAGTGACAAGTTTCACAGATCCAATTATCATAAAAACATTGCACACTGTGTTTTTTTTTGACAGGCTTTAATGTTCCATGGATTCTGGACCTCATATTTTTGTTGTGTTGCTTTGTTGTTGAGACAGTGTTTCTCTGGGTAACAGTTATCCCAGAACTCACTCTGTAGACCAGACTAACCTTGAACTCACAGGTATCTACCTGCTTCTGCCTCCTGAGTTCTGGAACTACAGGCATGCACCCCACCACCACCACCCCTGCCAAGACCTTGGATAGAAGTGTATATATCATTGTGTTCTGTCTTATTGAACTGACTTTGGAGATCCAATTTAATAACTGAAGGGTTTTTCCTTGGATCTATGTCCTTAATGGTTCTGTAAAGCAGCTGAGCCAGCAGCAGTAACTGTTCCCTGTCATTGATGTGGAGTTTAGTTAGAACTTTTGAGTATATGTCATCTTATACTATGAGACAGGAACAAGTGGGGGAGGCTCTGGCTCTTCCTGCCTCTTCATCTCTTTTTATTCACTCAGAAACCACAGGTCAGAACAGGGATCTGCTGAGTTGGCAAAGTTCTTAAAGACCATGCCATTCAATGCCAACAGCAAACTTTGCTGTTTGTCCAGTGGCCCCCAGCATGTGAATGTCTCTGTGCAATATTATTGCTTGTCAGCACTTGATAGTGTCCTTTCAACTTTTTGGTGACATAATATCTAATTTATTTATTTATCCATTTATTAGTATTTATTTATTTGGGATATGATTTCTTTTTGTAGCCCTGACTTTCGCAGAACTACATATGCAGATCAACCTTGCCTTGAAATCAGAGATTTGTTTGATTCAGACTTCCAAGTGCTGGGATAAAAGGCATTGCTGAACTGCTTGGCCCAAATATTGTTTTTTAATTAATTTTGCTATATGATATTGTAACATAAGTACTTTTTTATTAATTTTATTGAGGAGTTTTCTCTGCTCCTCTCCCTGCTTCTCCCTTCAATCCTCTCCCATGGTCCCCATGCTCCCAATTTACTCAGGAGATCTTGTCTTTTTCTACTTACATGTAGATTAGATCCATGTATGTCTCTCTTAGGGTCCTCATTGTTGTCTAGGTTCTCTGGGATTGTGATTTGTAGGTTGATTTTTTTTGCTTTACGTTTCAAAATTACTTATGAATGAGTACATATGTTCATTGTCTTTTTGGATCTGGGATACCTCACCCAATATGATGTTTTCTAGCTCCATCCATTTGCCTGCAAATTTCAAGATTTCCTTATTATTTCCTGCTGTGTAGTACTCCATTGTGTAAATGTACCACATTTTTCTTATCTATGCTTACCTGAGGGGTATTTAGGTGGTTTCCAGGTTCTGGCTATGACAAACAATGCTGCTATGAACATAGTTGAGCACATATTCTTGTGGTACCATTAAGCATCTTTTGGGTATATACCCAAAAGTTGTATTGCTGGGTCTTGAGGTAGGTTGTTTCCTAATTTTTTTGAAAAATTGCCATACTGATATCCCAAAGGGATGTACCCGCTTACACTCCCACCAGCAATGCAGGAGTATTCCATTTATCCCACAGTTTCTTCAGTATGAGTTGTCATCAGTATTTTTGATCTTTGTCATTCTTATAGGTATAAGATGGAATCTCAGAGTTGTTTTGATTTTTATTTATCTGATGAATAAGGATGTTGGACATTTCCTTACATGTCTTTCAACAATATTATGTTCCTCTGTAGAGAGTTCTCTGTTTAGGTCTGTACTCCATTTTTTATTGGATTATTTGTTCTTTTGATGACCAATTTCTTGAGTTCTTTCCATATGAAGTTAGCTACCATTATTTCTAGGTCTGTAAAGAATTTTGCTTGGATTTTGATGGGCATTGCATTGAATCTATAGATTTCTTTTAGTAAAATTTCCATTTTTACTATGTTAATTTTACCTACCCAAGAACATGGGAGATCTTTCAACTTTCTGATGTCTTCTTCAATTTCTATATTCAAAGATTGAACGTTCTTGTCATACAAGTCTTCCACTTGTTCCGTTATAGTTCCTCCAAGATATTTTAGGCTATTTGTGGCTATTGTGAAGGGATATGTTTCTCTGATTTCTCTCTCAGGCCATTTATCATCTGTGTACAGGAGTTTTCAGGTGTTCTGTTACCTCACCAGTATGAGATTTTTTTTCAGCTTCTTTATGTAGGCATTTAGTGCTATGAACTTTCCTCTTAACACTGCTTTCATTGTGTCTCATAAATTTGGATATGTTGTGTGGTCATTTTCACTGAATTTTAGGTAGTCTTTAATTTCTCCCTTTATAGCTTCTTGACCCATTGATGCTTCAGGTGATATTTATTTAATTTCTATGTGTTTGTGGGCTTTCTGATATTAGTATCACTGTTGAATTTTAATTTTAAGCCCTGGTGATCTGATAAGATACATGGGGTTATTCCAATGATTTGTATTTGTTGAGGTTTGTTTTGTTACCAAGTATATGGTCAATTTTTGAAAAGGTTCCATGAGTTGCTGATAAGAAGGTATATTCTTTTATGTTAGGAAGGAATGTTCTTTAGGTGTCTGTTAAGTCCATTTGAGTCATAACACCTATAAATTCCCTTATTTCTCTGTTAATTTTTTGTCAGACTGACCTATCTCTCTAGTGGTGAGATTGGAGTGTCATACTATTTGTGTGTGGGTTTTGGTGTATGATTTAAGAAGTGTTTATTTTAACATATGAGGATGCCCTTGCTTTTGGGGCATTATTGAGATTTCCTTTTGATGGATTTTTCCTGTAAGTAATAAGAAATATCCTTTTTTTGTCTCTTTCGATTGATTTTAATTTGAAGACTATTTAGTTAGATATTAAGATACCTATACCAGCTTGTTTCTTAAGTTCATTTGATTGGAAATTTTTTTCCCAACCTTTTACTCTGAGACAATGTCTGTCTTTGAGGTTGCTGTGTGTTTCTATTATGCAGCAGAAGGATGGATTCTGTTTACGTATTCAATCTGTTAACCTGCATTTATTTATAGGTGAGTTGAGTACATTTATATTAAGGGATATTAATGATCAGTGATTGCTATCTCCTGTTAATTTACTTTTCAATGTTGCTGATGTTAATTTGTGTGTTTTCCCTTTTTTGGGATTTGCTGCTGTGAGATAAGTTGTCTGTGATTTTATTAATACAGCCAACATCTTTGTGTTGGAGTTTTTCTTCTAGTACTTTGTGTATGGCTGTGTTTGTGGCTAGGTATTGATAAATCTGATTTTGTTATGGGATATCTTGTTTTGTCCTCCTACGGTGATTGAAAGTTTTCCTGGGTAAAGTAGTCTGGAATGGCATCTGTAGTCTTTTAATGCTTGCATAACACTTGACCAGGATCTTCTGGCTTTCATTGTCTCCATTGAGGAACAGGTGCAATTTTGAAAGATCTGCCTTTATATGTTACTTGTCCTTTGTCCTTTGCTGCTCTTAATATTCTTTTGTTACTCTGTATGTTTAGTGTTTTGATTATTATGTGGCAAGAGGACTGATTGTTTTTTTTTTGATCCAGTCTATTTGTTGTTCTGTATGCTTTTTGTGTCTTCATAGGCATATATTTCTTTCTTTTTAAAACTAATTTATCAATTTATTTATTAAAAATTTTCACCTCCTCCCATCTTCCCATTTTCCTCCCACTCCCACCACTCCCCCTCCAAAACCCTTTCCAGTCCTAAGAGCAGTCAGGGTTCCCTGCCCTGTGGGACATCCAAGGTCCTCCCCCTCTCCATTCAGGTCTAGGAAAATGAACATCCAAACAGACTAGGCTCCCAAAAAAGCCAGCCCATGCAGTAGAATCAAATCCCAGTGCCATTGTCCTTGGCTTCTCAGTCAGCTCTCACTGTCAGCCACATTCAGAGAGTCCAGTTTGATCACATGCTCCATTAGTCCCAGTCCAGTTGGCCTATGTGAGCTCCCATTAGATCAGTCCCACCATCTCAGTAGGAGGCCACACCTTTCACGATCCTGACTTCCTTGCTCGTGTTCTCCCTCCTTCTGCTCCTCATTTGGACCTTGGGAGCTCAGTCCAGTGCTCCAATGTGGGTCTCTGTCTCCATCTCCATCCATCGCTGGATGAAGGGTCTATGGTGATATGCAAGATATTCATCAGTGTTGCTATGGGACTAGGCCAGTTCAGGCACCCTCTCCTCTGCTGCCCAAGGAACAATCAGGGGACAACTCCTTGAACACCTGGGAATCCCTCTAGGGCCAAATCTCTTGCCAACCTTAAAATTGCTCCCTTAATTAAGATATCTACTTCTCTGCTCCCATATCCACTCTTCCTCCATCCCAACCATCCCATTGCCCCTAGCTCTCCCTTATCCTCCCCTTCTCCATTCTCTCTCTCCATCTTCCCTGACCCCTCCCCAACATACCCCCATGCTCCCAACTTTTGCCTGGCAATTATGTCTAGTTTTAATATTCAGGAGGATAACTATATGTTTTTTCTTTGGGTTCACCTTCTTATTGAGCTTTTCTAGGATCAAGAATTATAGGCTCAATGTTCTTTATTTATGGCTAGAATCCACTCATGAGTGAGTGCATACCATATTCATCTTTCTTGGGTATGGGTTATCTCACTCAAAAAGGCGTTTTCTATTTCCATTCATTTGCATGCAAAATTTAAGATGTCTTTGTTTTTTACTGCTGAGTAAAAGTCTAAAGTGTATATGTGCCACACCTTCATTAACCATTCTTCTATTGAGGATCACCTAGGTTGTTTCCAGGTTCTGGCTATTACAAATAGTGCTGCTATGAACATAGTTGAACAAATGCTTTTATAGTATCATAGGGCATCTTTTGGGTATATTCCCAAGAGTGGAATTTCTGGGTCC